CACACATTCTCTGTTACAAATACTATCACACTACCATCTCCCTTCATAAAATACAAATGTTACAATGACGCATCTCTGTCACAAACGAATAGTAGAAGTGCCCCCTAAAAGGCGTAACATTTTCTCTTCTGTTCCTCTCTTCAAATTTGTTCCATTATCATTTTTCAACTTTTCATGCCTATAATCATTTTATTGAGCTTTAGTTGGTTATATATAATCAGTGCTGCAACAACAACAACAACAACAGCCACTCAGGTTTGTTTTATTGAAAGAGTGAAATTTGAATAGATTAATTTAAAATTTGATATATTATTGCTAAATTAATTGTTCAATAGCTTCATGTTTAGGATAAGAATTGTAAAATTTAAATGAAAAAAAAAATGATATTGAGCAATATTGTGGGCATTAAATAATCCGCTAAATGAACAGAGATCAAAATTTCCTTCTCGTTATCATTATTTAATATATTCTTTTATAATTCATACTAAAAATTCTTTTCTAATCTTTTTTCTTTCTTTCTTTTGAGTATATTCAAAATGACACAAGAAATGGTACACGATGGATTTATGTTGAATTTTTCGATTGTCCATCAATTCTTAAAATCAATTTGAATAAAATTCGAGCAGCATTAGCTAGTTGGATTAACGAAGAATGTGCCACAGCAATTCAGTGTAATCTGAATGGTACGATGAAATTAAAAAATGTCTTGATTGGTACTATTTTCTGCGGTATACCAAATAATTTCATTACATTTCTTGTGCTGAGGAATGCTACCGCTCATCCATTTCTACAAGGTTATCATTTATACTAGCTAGCAAGTTGATCAGTTATGGGAAATTTAAAAGAAAAAAACTTGTGAAATTTTGAAATGAAGAGAAAGTCAAGGAGATATAAGCTAGAGTCATTATATTAATTCTTAGCTATTTCAATAATTTTGATTTAGTTTAATAAAACTTTTTAAAAAACAAAGAAGTTATCGTTAATTTTAAAATATGCGAAAGCAAAAACTAAAATTCATATTTAAACTAAAATTTATATTTAAAACTTTCGTGCAATTTCTCAGTTAGAAGTTTCAATGTTATCAGTAAAATGATGCATCATTTGTTAATAGCAAACAAATGTATTTAGTATCGTATAGTATAAAATAATTGCAGTATTCCTGTAATTTCTCGAATTTTTTAAATTTCGACATTTTCAGCTAATCATCTTGATTTAAACATCGTTGGTAAAGTAATACAGTCCAGAGAACATCTGTTATCTGTATTACTTCATTCAGACCTCAAACTTGTCACAGTACGAGTATTGAATGATGAAGAAAAAGAAGAAGGTAATATTATCAGTGATACCACTAACTTATGCGGTCCTCTATGTTGTATGACCGTAATTTTATCGATTATATTTGTTGTTACATTTTTTATCATATATTTCATTCAAAGAAATTCCATGGAGCGCAAATGTCTAAGTCCAAGTCATTCCTTATTAATACTACAACCTCTTCAGAATTAATTCAACAAATTCTTTATTAGCATTAAAGGATGGATTAATGAGGAGAATTATCACTAATAATGTATAAAAATGACGACCACTGATAGATTGACCGTATTTCATGAATTATTGCTATTCATTGGCCGCGTCCAACTTGTAAAAATTTCAGATTCAAAGTTGGCTATTTTATTGCATTAAAAAAAAAAAAAATTCATAGCCATAATGCTCTTTGCTTCACTTATAATTATTCTTTGCTATTCTTTCATACCAACCTATAAGTGATTAATATAAGCAAAATCGTTATATCTGAAATTTACAAGAACTTCGAAGCTTAAAATGTAGCCATCGAGTGATGGAAAGTAAAAAATGAATGACGCAAGATGTTAATTATTTGCCCGAAGAATCATACCCAGAAATTGTTTATTTTCCATTATTAATAAAGCCATGATGAAATTTTGATTTTTTAACTGATTTTCAAACAAAATTTAAAGTAAATTTTTTAACTGCAACTTTTATTTTTCTTCTTTAGAGCTAACCTTAAAAATAAACCACTATAAAAAATATATGTTATGCAAGAAAAAAAATATTTCAAGAAATTGCTTTTCTATCAAATAACCTCCATTAGCACTGCCTCAATTTTGTTTCAAAAATTAACTTCTCGTTTTTTAACACTTACAATTCTTGTACTGATCCTTTTTGAGCGAATGCTTTTATTATTGATTGCCGAAATGCAGCATCGCAATCAGTTTATTTCTTTTCGGTAACATCATTCAGTTAACTATTACATGCATGAATTTTCATGCTTAATGCATTTTGAATTTATCAAAAAGTGTCTTTATTCATTTTTCATTATTCACTTTTAAAACTCAATGATAATTTCATACTTTTATAGAAGGAAAAGCTGATGGTAAAAGTACTACAGAAGCCTGTGTTCTGTACGATCATTTGTTAATTGCAAAAAGATTTCCGAATATGAATTCTAACTGTGTAAACTAATTTGTATTAATGCGAATCCACACACAGTAAGCCATATATGAAAGATGATTTTTTGCATATAAAATTTATTATTCTCATGGGAAGTTATCTTTTCCAATTGAGTATGATATATGACACGAAGTGAACTGCTCAGAAATTGCCAATTCATTCTTTTTAATTCCAATATTTCGCATGGAACGCATCCCGAGTTGTAAAAGGGAGCTGAAATTATCGCTTCAAAATGAACACAATCCATAAGTGATGCATTTCAAAAAAAAATTTAGCAGATCGAAATAAGCGTTGCAAATTAGTTGTTTCTCAAACTTGTCGGATTAATTTAAACTTTGAAAATACTTTCAGGGATTGGTTTTCAGAATATTATGATTGCTATGCACTGGTATACATCGAAAGTCTTTTCCAAGAATTTAAATTTGCTATTACCAGACTACCAATTATACCATCTAACCCAATGAACCTAGTAGTTCCGGGATGGATTCGAAACAATAAATCGAGACTTAATCCATATGCTCATTCTATTTGTGTGTATTTAAAAAGCACGTCTTGTGTGTTCTTAAAAAAAAAGTAAGTTTTAAATTCATAAGAGACAAAAGCGGGCAAAATTACAAGATGTAATATCAAATAGATGAACTGCTGATAAGGTGTAATCGAATTTGTACTGTCGATTTGGGTGCATCAATCGCTGAGAGGTCACGAAGTCCTCGATTACCGACTCATGTTTCAATTTGTTAAAATTTATATCTAGATTTCGCATTCCAAATTGAAGGAAAGAAACAAGAAATGAGATTTATAAATTTTCAGCAATGAGTGTTCTACAATCTTGGTTTAAAAAAGATCCAAATGAAATCCACTATATTTAAGGCCTTTTTCAAAGAATTTAGAGCAATTTCTGAATTATTAATTGACTGACATATAATAGCAAAATAATTACAAATCACCGAAAACGATTTTTGACCATAAAAAATGTCCATGAAAAGTTTTAATCTATGAAAATTCATACTTCCAGCGTTCAAATCAAAGATCGATGAGAATAGAAGAGATTAACTTTAAAATAACTGATTCTTAACAATCCGTATCTTGTATAGCATCTATAACTGTGAGATAATTGAACAAGACATATGTATTCATGGACATTTTTGTAATTTGAAATTAAAGGAAATAATTAAATGATCACCACTGTTATCGATTAGATAATTATATTGTCGCTTAAAGTATACATTGCGATCCATCTGTTAACGATTTCTCTTTGGATCCTTTTTTTCGATCTATTCCGCGAGCATCATTGAAATAGCGGAAAAGTTTTAATCCGTTGAATGTCTGATAAGTAATAATAACTCCCAGTACAGTGATAAATGAAAATTTAAAAACAAATAATCAACTGAGAAAAAAGAATCTGAGAAATCATAAACGGAAATAATTATGATAAATAAAAGAGTAAAATTGTTTAGTTACGCAGCGTCGCATAGGTACAAAGAAATGAGAAGGATTTCAGTTTTGAGCTAGAATTTATTGTTATTACATGCAGCTATCTTGCGTCAGTCACCAACAGAAAAGATGACAGACACTCACACACCAAAAAAGGTAGCTTTAAAGGTATTTCATTCTGATATGTATGAATGTTTCAAAATATGGAACACTTCCAATTCGCTATAGAATTTCCAGCATCACTTTTAGAACTTGATTATTTGTTATCTCGCAAACATTCGGACATAAAAATTTACAATTTCAATGAGGATGAATTTTAGACACAGCACTGCATATAAAGAAAGATAAATTTGTCAAACTCAAAAACCATGCTTCATCCAGAAGAGAACAGCATCCAGTAAAAAAAAATTTACCAAAAAATTCGTGCTCGACAGCTTTAATACATGTTATTCACTGTAGAGAAAAGATTATGTATCAGACAATTGTTGTCTTCGTATTTGTTATAAACTTGCACTTTTAATCGTCAATATTCGAATATTTTCAAGTTTCATGCTCAAAAAATAAAAAAGTCCAATAGTTAATATGAAATCTCAAACATTTCGCAATCTGTTACAATTTAGTAAAAAGTCAATAAAACAGTGACTACCGAAGAAACATCATGTTTTGGACATGATATTTTTAAAGACAGAAAGCAATCTTCCAACTCAACATTACTTTTTGCAACACTGAACTTGCATAACGAACATATTCTAAAAAAATAGTGAAAAAAATATATTACGCCAAATAAAATGTGCAACAAAAACTGTTTCGAGTTAACAAAAAGACTTAAAAATCCTCAAGATAAAGTTTCAAGTGGGCGATATTCCGCATCCGTAAGATTCTCTACAGGTATTTTTTCCATTTTACTTTAAATAGCATTTCTGAGTATTGAAAGAATGTTTACTTTCTCAATTATTAAAATGTATGGATACAAAAAGATTAATAAGTTACAATATAAAGCAACTTTGAAATTACCGTATTAAAACCTAATGAGCTATGAAGCAAAATGACTACATCAAATTATACATCGCACTAACAGCAGTCAATGAAGTCACACATCACCCATCTCCAAATTGTGGCACCCATGTCATCACATTAACATCTGAAACAAGGAAACATAATAGAAATAGTGCTTTCCTGCTTGATAATATTAGAAATTTTTTCAATATTAAAAAATCATCTCGTCAAGACATGAAGCAATGTATATTTAAATCATTACATCCTTCACTAATTAAGTAATCCAGTACAAGCCCAACAAATGATTTATGCACCTTTGCTTGGATATTACCAGATTGGAAAGACCTGAAATATAAAGAACAAGGAAAAGAAATATAAAGAACAAGATCAAAGAAAATCAGCTCTTCTTAACAAACCGTTAAAGCCACTCAACAAAAACAATGAAAAAATGAAATGGCAGAAGCAAGAAATAATACCATCCCAAATGAAAACCGCAGCGAGGGCAAATACAAACGGTCCACTCATAATTCGGCCACCAAGTATCCGCTATGTGAGACTGCAAAAAATATCTCTTTTTCTTCATGGATAGTGTTTAATAAAATGTAAGAACTAGAGAAAAATTATCCAAAGATAGCTATGCAAATTAAGATATCATAAGGCTTTGCGAAACATTTCTGCATGCTTTATTAGTCATACTACTGTAGTTTCATACCAGAATAAACCCTCTCAAAAACTAACAGAAAAATCAATGGCGCCAATTATCGATTACTGTCTGATGAAAAGATAACGTAGTTTATGGTGCCAATTTCATCTTATATTTTATTAGCTTATGGCGCTCGTTACCTTTTTTTATAAACCCAACAAAGGAGACAATTATTCGAGTACAAAGCATCCTCACACAAGTAAAACCATTATTAAGCATCTTCTTGCCTTGTTTAGGAAAAAACCATTCGGTAGTGAAATCTAGGAACGAAACTTCAAGATTGCTTACCTTACCTGTAAGTTCTAGTTCAGCAGTTGAAGCAGTTATCACATCGAATTTTTCAGCTGTAAGAATGTATATTGAAAGTAATAGGAACTAACATAATGAATGCAGAATATGTTTATTTCTTTAAAATTTTGCAGAGTTTAAAGTAAAAATTCAAGCTGCAAAATGGTCCTTTGATCCATTACTACACCAATGATTCTAACTGTCTAACAATGATTGATGTTTAATTAACTATAGAATAAATCAACTGCTAACAAAAAATACCATTTGATGCTATCAAGCAATGTAGCGGAAAGTGTATAAAAATATATGAACATACGGACGGCATTTTCGAAGACTTGAACAAGTTGATTGCGACCCAAAATACTCATATTATATGAACGTATGGCTTTTGCACTCTTTTCATTGGTAAGTGCCGAACCTTTGACAATGCTATGCCCGCAGTTACGACAAAGCAATGTCATAGATCCTAAAGAGTAAACCATTTCGCATAAATTCCAGCTTTTTCAAGTTGAAAACATTCTACAGAATTAATTTGCAAATTTGACTCTTTCTGAATCAACACTACAACTAGAAACATACAATTCATTAGTTTATATGCGATATTATAAAGTAAAATAAAGTTCTGAATGATTAGAGCTAACTTTGAAGTGAAAATTAAACTATACCTGCAGGAACAGTTAACACGACATAACACATCAACCATAACAAGTACATATATCTATGGTACACCTGAATATCAATCAGTATATTACTACTCACCACGTCACCACCCTTCGCCCTCGATCCTGACCACGAACCTGACCTCGCACCACCCACTAACATTCACCACGCGAATGATGAGGGAAAGGAGCGAAATGAAAATGACAATCCGATGAAAGAATGTTGTAAAATCGTCAGATTGATTTAAAATAAAGTACGATCAGAAATTTCAAGCAATTTGAAATACGAAATATAAAAGTTTTCGTCAAGAAATCCGTCAAAATATGGAAACGATGCTGTTTTTTAAATTTACTCATAGCAAAAAGAATTTAATATTTCCTAAAGCTTGTTTTAGTTACAAATAATCTTTAGTAAACTCCATCATTGAGTGAAAAAAATTCAAAAAAAGCAATTGAGATATTTAAATTTATAGATGATGTGAACGAAAAAATGTTTCTATCATTAATTATTTC